AACAGGCTGTTTGTCCCTGAGCCTTTGTTAGACGGAAAAAACCAGGAACTAATACTAAGTAATATCGCTTTGTCGCTTTTAATAGTGCTAGACAGAGTCACCCACTCGGGTTCATTGCCAAACGCAAGATGCTGCCTACACGTTTCAGAAGTTTCCAAAAAGAATGCATCACTGTCCTGTTCTGTGGGAGTTACATCTTCCTCCAGCCGAACGCTCCACCTCCTTGGTGATGGGTGTGAGTGTGGTGTCTTGGGGCGTCTGTAGGCTTCTGCTGGAGATCTACAGCCAAAATAGCCTCCCACACTCCAGAAGATGCTTGAAGTAGTCATGCTGTCCCCAGCCCCACTCAGGAGATCAGGTGCAGGAGAGGGCTCCTGCTGCCTCCGCGGGTTTTGCCTCACCGCGGTGGAAGCTCCGGTTGGGTTTTGAGCTTGACGTCTTGTTTCTCTATCCAAGGCTTCATGGAAAACGGATTCCCCACACGGCATCAAGAACCTGAAGATAATGGACCAGAGGAAAGCTGTTGGGGTCCTCGGCCCCTGCTCCCTCCCTCTCCCCACCACATGTCGCTGTCCCCTTCCAGGACCAGCATGCTCCCTGACACACGAGGACCTGCATATGAACAACCATCGCGACCCGGCTTCTTGAGGCGGGCTCACTAAGTTCAATTTCACGTAACAGAAAACATCAAAATCACAGTCAGCTTCAACAAGACTCATGATTATTTCTCTCTCATGTAAAAACCAAGTGAGGTGGTGGACACCCACCCATGGCTGTGTTAGTAGGTTCTTGTGGTTCTGCCCACGACGGAAACAGAGGTTAGAGCGGGTGAAGATATTAAGCTATTGATTCCTCTTTCAGCTCAGTTCTGATCCTAGGATTTAGCACGAGTTTAATGATCCCAGGTCACAGTTGTTGGCATCAATCCAAGTCTCCGTGCCGTTCGGACAAATTTATCTATCCCAAGCTGCATGTGGTCTAACTTTTTCCCATGTTTCTGCCTTTGCACAGGATACAGTCTTTTTCTGCCTCTCCATGAACTCTGGAAACAGTTATATCAGGACCTGTCACTATGGGCCCTTAAGCCAGACACGGTAACGTTGCCCGTTCTGAAGCGCTTTTCTCCTTTGGGGTGGATCCAGTTCTATGGTCATTGGTAACTGCAGCTTCAGGAGCCCCAGCCTTGGCATCTGACAGGATTTTGCAGAAGGCTGAAGAACCTAGTAGCTTTCTTTTCGGAGCTTTTTATTGTGATGTAAACCAAATGGGCTTCTCGTTTCACCCCGCAGGCAGGCCACAATGATCAGGACAAGCTGTTAAAGGGAGATCTTCATGGCGGCAAAATTATTTAAGGTAATTTTTAACAAGAGCGTCTGTAGAACATAGGGTATCCAGAGTTCACAATGTCACTCCGTGTGAGACCATAGCGCTTGGGTCCATTGGACACACTCACTTACAACTGTGGATCCCTGAAAGATGGCCCCTGGACACAATCTCCCCACATTCAGGGTGGGAGATGCTTATCGTCCGGCTGGCTTACCAGTCGTCTGGGCCATTTGGATGGACATACAACCTAAGTGGTCCTCTGTGTACCTTTTCCACAAGGGACCCTGTCGGTACCCTAAGGGCACAGTGGCTGTTGGCACTCACCATGGCCTGGAATCTTGATAATAGAACCCTTTCATCCAGATGCTTATGATATTCGAACCGTCCAGTCTTTCAGTTGCCTGACCAGCCCCAGTGCAAGCGTTGAACACTCAAGCTAAGGTCCGTTTACTGAACACTTCAGAGAAAAGGGATAAAGATAAAAAATTAACAAAGAAAAAGTGGAGAGTAGG